ACTTCAGATCTTATGGATTTTTCTTTTTTTTGCCGTTAGATTAAGGTTGAGAGCTGACAGGCACTCCGACTCACCTCTAACCTTTCTGATCCGGTGCTCGTGCTCTGCCTCTGTCTTTATAAGGCGCATGCTTGTGTGCACAGGCACACACCAAAAATGTGGGTTTGCATTTCTCTCAGGAAACGATTGTATTTTGCAACAGGAAATAACTTCAAAGATACTTAACGGAACATTTCCACAACAAAAAAGAAAGCACAAGAGAGGGATGAAAAAAGGCATTTCTCTTCTCTCAAAATAAAAAAGCATGATGCATATGAAACCTTTTCCATCCTGCTTCATTATCACATTTTCACTGCTTCTGTTTCCATAAGTTCAATTAGTTTTCTAGGGTTTCAAACTTTCAAATAAATATTTCTGTTCCTGTTTCTGTTAATCAAACTGTTCCTGTTTCTAACATTTATATTCGTAGTTACGAGCATTCAGATTGTTTTTGCAACACAGTTTGTTGAAGTAAATAACTTTCTGTTTACTTTGAAGTTATCTTCCACAACTGAAAGATAAACACAGGCCTAAAAATGTAAAGTTATTATCTGTAGTGTAAAAACATAAATATAAATAGATTAATATTGCAGACATGAAAGAGGCGCAAGGTTCTCTCTGCTGCACACTTCTCTCATTTCATTTTAAAGTATTTTATATTTGTTCAAAAGAAGGATGGGACACATTTTTTAAAAGACGTATCAAAATTGTGTAAGAGATTTTTTTAAAGTGTAGTGACCTACAAAAGTGTTTCTAAACTTTTTCACATGTTGTTACACTGCAGCCACAAACCTCAGCATCTTTCACGCATTCTTTATATGATGGAGCGCAGAACTGTGCAGAGAAAGGAGAAAAGAATACGCTTCATTCTTTTTTAATAAACAAGGAAAGTGGCCAAAGAGTGTTTCTCTGCACATTACTCTGAATATCCTCCAGCTGACACGGTGGCAGCAGAACCAGGATCCTTTTTATTTGGAAATCAATCTAATAGACTAGCAGAAAAAGGCGGTTCTGCACATGATTGATTCAGAGGAGCTCAATGCTTATAAAGAATCTACTTTTCAGGTTTCTAAAACATTTTAGGAACTATTTTTTGTTATATGTTTACATTTGTCAGTTTAAATCTAAATAGGAAAATAAGTTTCTGGCCTCTGCATCCAGAGACAGAAGACAGTTTGCCTACATTCCTAATTTCTTTACTTTAATGCATGTAAAACTTTCATAATAAATCACAAAAAGAATGAGAGAAAAGTGTTTGTTTTTTTATCTCTACCTACATTTCCCAAAGCTTTTAGTTTTTTTCTCAGCAGGCGTCTCCTGATCATAGGTTGGCTCATATTCTCAGCCAACTTCTCACAGCTACATCTTCTGTTGAACATGTGTCTTGGGAACAGCCAGCTGCTCTGTCACACAAACAGAAAGCAGCTAATAAAGCTGCGTTCACAACCATTTCATTCCGCAATCTGTCCTGTCAATCCTAAACTTCCACCATGTCAGTTAGAAATCTGCTGCTCTTCACTACGTTAACACTGTCTTCATGTGTAATATTCGTATTTATGGTGTTTAATTTTGCTCTTTACATCATCAAGGGTTTTGAAGAAATAGTTTCCTTTTTGGGGTTTTAAGGTCTTCCAATAGTGGTTTTCTTTTTTACTTCTCCTGTTCAGTCAGTGAGTTTGCACTGATTCAAAGCTGTGGTCGACATGAATCATCCGTCTGTGTCAGAGGCATCTTCTCTCTGTCTCACCAAGATCATGAGCAGTGGGAGTTTAGGCCCCTTTCTCTCAATCTGCCTGTGAGATCTTATGTAACCCTTTATGCAGCATTCCAGCGCCACCAAGTGGAGGAACATGGAAATCATAAGCAGACATTTCTAAAGCATTAATGTTTGTTTAGTGTTTGTTCAAATATTAATCCAGTAACTCTTAAAAGAGCAAATCGCATCACAGATAATGATCTTCTGTATGCTGCTGTTGCTGTTATAATCTCTGATAAAGACTTGATCATTGCAGACGGACTTCTTTTAAAGACGGACGGACATGACAGAAACTCTCCTCATTAATAGCAGCGGCCAACAAAAGAGGCTCAGTTAGAACGCCTCATTATGGCGCTGGTAGAAAATAACCATATTATCTATCTCAGATAGTGTCATAAAACAGGAAAACCAAGATCTGTGGGGAAAGAGGAGATTAGTTTGAACCTGCATCCGTCTGCCAATTGGACTGTAATCCCAGGATTGCTGGGAGGTAGAGGCTCTCAGCCTCATTGGATAGAAAATAAAACAGGTAAAAAAGAAAATGTTAAAAATCTCTCAATGTATCTGATTTGACTAAATCACACAGCAACATAATTGCTATAATTAGACACAGTTCTTCTGTTTTCTAGACGAAGACTACTGTTGCAAAAAAAAAACTCACGAAAAAGTTGCACTGGTTTGATGAACACTTGTTCTCTTTATTTCTTATAAGTACAAACTGTCTATAAGATGCAATATAATGATATGATTATCATGAATAAACATTTAGCAACAACTACTGTCCAAAATAGACTGTAGGATCTATGGGAACACCAGGTTTAATTTAGGAGCATATATTCACATAGAAAAGACCAAACAATAAGAAACCTCTAATTCACATTTAACTGCATTTATAATGGAATAAAGAAAATAATCTGAAAGCATAAAAGTCAGCTGTTTGTAGTTCTTACGTTTCTGGGTAAAGTTTGGGATTAAGTCTGCAGAGTTTTTATCAGACTTAATTTCATCCCGTGAAGCTTTGAACTTTTTTTAGTCATTTATATTTGTAATATATATTTCCTCTCACAAGCATCTCGTCTTGAATATTATGAACTATTTACATGCAACTAGAGCTCTCTGGATTATCTTTGCATCAGGACGTTAGCCTGGTAGTTTCATTTCATATTTATAGTTTGGAGTGTGAAGCCAGAGCAGGGAAGCATTTTTGGATGGGGAAGGACTTCTATGGGGAACCTGAGGTACCCACGATGGCCAGGTCATGAAGATCAATGAGTTTCCTAGAGAAGGAGCTCAGCCTCGTACTGAAAGAGCCTCTTTTCTGACTGTGCTGCTCTCCACGGGCCTTCAAACAAGCACACAGGTCTTTGCAGAGACCCCCGAGACGGCCACGGAAATGGTTACCGACAAAGCAGTAGAGCACGGGGTTGATGGCAGAATTAGAGAACCCTAGGCAAAGGGTGAGTGGGGTCAGGTTGGCGATGGTCCAGGTTACCCAGCAGCTGTCCAGCCTTCCATTTTTATTCAAAAGGTCCAAGAAGGTCACGCAGTGAAAGGGGAACCAGCAGATAAAGAAAGCCATAACAACAGCAGCTACTGTCCAGAGAATCCTCTCTATGCCCTGGGCCATCATGGGTTCAGCTGTGCAGGAGTTTGGGTGAACGGTTGGAGTTGGTGGTCGCTCTGATTTAAAGTGGCTGCTTCTAGGAGTTGGTGAAATCTGCAATCTTGCCGACTGTCTGTATGCCAACAAATGTCTCCCAATGGCCCAATAGCAACAAGTGATGCCAACAAGTGGCAGCAGGAATGCCACGATGACCTTCATCCAGTTGAGAGCCAGAAACCAAGTATCGTCTGGATAGACAATTACACACGCCTCTACATCCATCTCTTTAATGTAGTGGGTGTCTCTCAAAACCAAGTTAGGTGCTGAGCAAGCCAATGCCAGGATCCATACTAGGATGCACACAATCCGGGCACTCTCATAATCCCGTGACCTCTGGGAGAGGAAAGGATGCACAATGGCTAGGTAACGGTCAATGCTCATGCATGTGATGAAGAAGATAGATGCATAGAGGTTGAGGTTCAGGAGAGCCCCGCAGATTTTGCAGGCCACTTTGCCAAAGGGCCAGCTGTAGCCCCCGGAGTAGTAGACGGCCCACAGCGGAAGAGACAACAGGAAGAGCAGGTCTGAGACACAAAGGTTCAGCATGAAAATGTTAGCCACAGTTCTTGTCATGGCATTGCCACAGGCCAACACGTACACTGCCAAGGCATTGCCCAGAGTTCCCAGCACGCAGATGATGCTGAAGATAGTGGGGATCACCGTTGTCATGGGAACAGGGGACCAGCCTGTGCAGAGGGGAGCAGGAGGTACAGAGGAGCTGTTCACGTAGACCTCTAGCATCGAAAAGGGGGAGGACGTCGCGTTGAAACTGGAGAGTTCACTTGTTGATGCCATTATGGAAAGAGATGTTCGAAGAGTTGACTTCAGCTTTTTTCAGATCTCCAAGGTCAGCTGGAAGCAACAGAAAGCAGGAGAGGTTTCAGACCATGGATACCTTTTATGGACGGCCGTTTCCTTCCTCTACTCTTTGCTTGGCACCAGTGTTTATTAGCTGCCCCCATTTATAAAGGAATTACAGAAGGAATTCATTATACAAAACTTGAAGTTAAACAGTAATAAAGTAACTTGGAGAAGGTTGTATTAATCTGCAGCCTATTGCATTCCTGAGAAACAGCTTTATCGTGTTAATGACTGGATTCATCAAACATTCATGACTTCAAATAAAAAAGAGCCAGCTTAATATAAGATTTAATAGGTTTAAAGAAATAATAAAAATCCCACAAACTGTTACTCTAATACACATGAGGGAACTAATAATTAATGAAGAATTCAAAAGCAGGCAATACAGTTTGCCGGATTACTTAAGGAAAAGTGCTTTTTCTAATGAAAATGTAATTATAGGTAATTATAACGAGACAGCTGGATAAGCGATAGACACATGGTGGATTTCCAAGGCCAGTTCTGAATCAGAACAAGCCTGATACATTACTTTACTGCTTCCAGGATAGTACAAAAAAAGTGTGTTACCTGGAACGACTGAGCATCCGGTAGAAACAAACAAACGGTTTTCAGTGCTTCCTTTGGCCAAAGTCCATATCTTGACAAATATTGCTGGAACTTTCTAAGAGAATTTGTCGCAGCAGAGCGTGGTGGACTGTACCATTCCTCCCAGTCTGTGTCTGGGTGTGAGCAGAGGGAGCAGATCTGAGGCTCTGAGAAACCAGATGAGGATGGGGATCTTATAGCCCCCAGGAGTCTCTTGATGATTGCTCAACAGGGAAAGTTGCTGCACGTCACACCTCGGCCATAACAGAGACGGGAAGCTGCTTTCCTTCGCTAGAGAGAGTTTTCCTTTTTATTCCCTCCCTCCTGGAGCCTCAGCTAGGAGAAGCCAAACTTGTGGAAATCAAGTCAAGATGTGCTTAATAGCTCAAAGAGTGGATGCAGAGTCAGAGAACAGAACGATGTTGCAATCATGTGTTTCAGGGTGTCAGACTGAAAGACCCAACCACACCCGTCAGGATCTCTGACTTGATCAAATGCAGGCACTGGTTTAATTAGCACTGTCTACAGCATTCTTTCCACCAGTGGTCAGATAAGCCATGGGAAATATTTACTTTGTCACAACGGAAGTCAAGGCAGCTACTGGGGCAGAGGAGAAGGCAGGGAGGCGCAGCATGGAAGACGAATGAGAAGCAGGACACAGTGAAACTGAAGGGAGGGAACGGGAAGATGAGATGGCAAAGAGAAGCAAAAGTGGAGTCTCCCTTCACTGGGTTTTCATTAAAGCCTCTGCTGAAAGCTGATGAGGGATGCATTCACAGCTCCGAGACTGATTGCATCACACCTCCTTTGATCAACAGTGTAAGCATGCATTCCTCCCCACACGCACAGCCCTGCATGCATCTCTGCACCTACGGCTCACCGCGTAGTCGTTCTTAATCTCAGCCTGGCATGTATTCATTGAAGCTGTGCGCTCAAATGTGATGTGTGACACTCGTACAACGTGGGCCATTAAGCATCTGTCAGGACGTGACATTCCTGTTCTAATAGCCCTGGGAACCGTGACAGTGAGGATGAAGGATGGACAGTTTGAAGGTCATCAACGAGGGGTTCCGTTTTTGAAATCTTGCGGGACATGAGAAATCAGGAATTTGCTGTTTTACAGAGCTGCTAACCTTGAAATGTTATCCTTTCCAAACCAAAAACAAATCCATAAAATCCAAACTTTCCCCTGGCATGCTGGGTATGCACAGTTGCTCTAACACATGTTTTACCATTCTGAGAGCTGAATAGGAGAAATATCCGAAGCACGTAATCTCAAACACCACGATTTCACTAAATGTCACAAATTAATCTTTAAACTACGTCTACCATGAGCAGTACTTCTTAGCTCACAAATAACTGTGTTTGGAACGCCAAGATACAGGCCCCAAATGTAAACATAAACACAAAACTGATGGAGGCCAAAGGTCTCTGGTCATGACATGCAGCAGCTAAAAAAAGAAGTTTCTGGTGTCTTGTAAGCCAACATAAATAGGAGATAGCAGACCAGAAAGGAGGGGAAAACAGCCTCAGCTATGCCTGCGGTTTATGGAAACCTATAAATGACTTAAAGTAAATAAAAGTCTTTATATTTCAACTAGACCTAATGAGCAGCATATTTATCCTCATTGATACTGAATATTAATAATCCTACATATCTTTTTAATCTCACTCGCCCAGAGCCATAGCTCTGTTGAACCGTCCATTCCACCTGCTCTTAGCAGGAATTATTTTATGGGATTCTTTATAAATAAGATTGATCTTATTAAAAATAAGATCAGTAGCACTCCTCTATCCACGATTGGTTTGTCTCTGGAGGGGGGGGGGGGGGGGGGGGGGGGGGGGGGGGGTCAGCATCTGAGCTAGTCATGGAATCTGAACTGGGTTTAGACTGCTTTGATCCAGTTGAGCTTTCAGAGTTTGCAAAACTATTGTCTTCATCAAAGCCTTCAACTTGGATGTTAGATCCAGTTCCAACCAGGTTATTTAAGGAGGTATTCCCTTTGATCTCCTCCTCCATTTTAGATGTGATTAATCTATCTCTGTTACAGGGATATGTACCTAAAGCTTTTAAGATTGCTGTAATTAAACCTCTGCTTAAGAAACCGTCTCTTGACCCAGATGACTTGGTCAATTATAGACCTATATCCAATCTTCCTTTCTTATCCAAAATTCTTGAGAAAGTAGTTGCCAAACAAGTTTGCGATCACTTCCACCATAATGAACTTTTTGAAGAGTTTCAGTCTGGCTTTAGAGCTCATCATAGCACTGAAACAGCTCTGGTGAAAGTCACTAATGATATTCTCATGGCCTCAGATAATGGACTTGTATCTGTGCTCGTCCTGTTGGATCTTAGTGCTGCATTTGATACAGTTGATCAGAATATTATTTTAGAAAGACTTGAATATTTTGTTGGAATTAAAGGAACAGCTCTAGACTGGTTTAAATCTGATCTATCTGATCAAATTCAGTTTGTTCATGTTAATGACAGATCTTCAACACGCTCAAAGGTTACCTGTGGAGTACCACAGGGATCAGTGCTAGGACCAATTCTCTTTACTTTATACATGCTCCCAATCGGTAGAATTATTAGACAGCATGGGATTAATTTCCACTGTTATGCTGATGATACCTAGCTATATCTGTCTATAATCCAGATGATGTGGAACCAACTACCAGTTTTAGTCCGTGAGGCAGACACCCTGTCTACTTTTAAGGCTAGGCTTAAAACTTTCCTTTTTGGATAAAGCTTCTAGTTAGAGTGGCTCAGGTTATCCTGATCTATCTCTATAGTTCTGCTGCTATAGGCTTAGACTGCTGGAGGACATAGGGACCCCTTTTTCATCATTCTGCTTCATTCTATCTCTATTCTCCCACTCTGCAGAATCTGTTAGTTCAATCTCTAACGTTCTGCTCTCTCTGCTTTTTCTCATAGTAGCTTCATCTGGTCTGTTCCTGTTTGGCTGTGACTCCATCCTGGAGAGAAATATCAGCTGTGCTGCTGCCATCAACACCTTTGTTTCTAGATGTTGGAGCTTGGCCTGTTTTCCAGTGTAGTCCTGTTTCTCTGACTGTGACTAACTGGATGTGCTCTCTTCATCCTCTGACATGGGAGCTGGCTCGGAGCTCGTCTGCCTGGCTGTGTGTTTCCTGGACGGGGCCGCCTGTGGAGCTGGTTGACAGTTGCCTTTTGTATCTATGCTTCTTTTTCTATGTCTGCTTCTGTCTCCTTGAACCCCAGTCGGCCTCAGCAGATGGCCGCTCACACTGAGCCTGGTTCTGCTGGAGGTTTCTTCCTGTTCAAAGGGAGTGTTTCCTCTCCACTGTCGCTACAAGCATGCTTAGTGTGGGGGATTGCTGAAGAGTCAATGAGTCGATGCAATCAGCTGGTTTTCCTTAGATAGAAAACTTTGAATCAATCTGACTGGATGATCTGGTTAATGTAGATCTATAAAGTGACCTTAGATGATGTGTTGTGAAACGGTGAATATAAATAAACTGAACTGAATTAAAATGAATGACCCCCCCCCCCCCCTACCCCCAGTACTGAATTACTCACTGCTGTTCACTGCATAAGCTGCATGTGCAACTTTCAGCAACAGATCCCACAATCTCTTTACATACCTGAACAGATAACCTTAACCAGTAACATTCCTGATTCAGTCGTCTGGACGTTTCTGCACATCGCTGTGTTATGACCTCATTTCAACACTAATAAGCAATACCAGCATCCAACCAATACACATCAACTTTGCTTTATTGAGCAATATTTCAAATATTCTGATCCACAAATCTTTAATGGGTCATCTTTAGATTTGAAGTTTATTTTAAAGACGAAGCACAATCTCTTCTTTCTAATTCAGACACTATGGGAACACAATCTTTCAACAATTAATATATTAAAAAATAGCCTGTTTTAAATTATCTCTTTAGTTTGTGTTTTAAAAAGCTCACAACATGCTGTTTTTAACACTCGCTTAGCTCAATACTTGAAAAATAGTTGAAAAATATAAGCTTTTATTATTAAGAAATATGGTGAAATTTCATCTTAAATCCAAGGCAGCTTTCGTTTCATGACTTGTTTGTTTATTATTATTTTGTCATATAAAATATTCAGACTTTAAACAGGGTGGGCGTCTTGGTGAAAATAGGGTTAGAAATTGAATCAATAAAACATAAAAATTAGTCATCTTTTTCTAAGAAACAAAAACAACATCTTGGCTGACGAGAAAAATAAATGTTCCACAAATTAGACACAGAAAACTCATTCAGGAAAGGAACTTCGATCACTCTGGGAAAAAACATGCAAAGGTTTTTTGGCATTAACTTAATTATAAGTCGAATCTTTAATCTACTACTGTGCTAACATGAATAAATTGTGAAATATAACAAAGTAAATGGCAGAAGCAGTTGCATTATTACTTTCAGTGGGACAGGTTTTAATCCATCACTGTCAGGAAGGCTGACGGTTATTGTTCTGGACACCAAACATCTCACATAGAGAACATATCTATAATATCTGCTCTAGAATTTATACCTGGAATCGTTTCACGCCAGGTGGGACGGAGAACCTGTGTCTTCATGTTCTTCCTAATCTCCTTCTTTCTCTACCTCTGAAATCTTCTAATCTTCATCACTCATGCTAATATTGTTTTCCTCATCTTCACTCTTTCTTCAGGTGCTTTCAGTGTCCTCCTTTATCCATGACCTTCCTGCTCTCTATTATCCTTCCTTCCTCAGATCTGCAGACTTTTCTTACATATCATCTAGAATCTAGAAATGTCTGGACTTTTAAACGTCTGTTTTATTGGGATCTGTGATGTGAAAGCATCAAGATTTTGAAAAAGTATCCCACTTGTTCTGGCAAGAGGTCTGCATGAAGGTGAAGCCAGAGAGTATTTATCACATTCACACAGGTCAGCAGATCTATTTAGAAGCATTCTTCTCTTTGTATGTCGTATGTTACATCATGGAAATATGTATATAGTTATTTTCTTTAATTTTTTTTCTTTTAACAGTGTCCTGTCTGGTGATGTGGCAATAAGAATAATTGTCTTGATGCCAAAAAGAGCCCAAACAGATTTTACTTTCACAAGTGTAGCAGTACGGCAATCCCATATTGCTCCACTTGTTTCATGCATATAAATTGCTTTATTATAATTATGCAGGGAGTTTTACAGTCCATATGGACACTGCAATGCAAGTAGAGCAGAAAAACAGAAGAAGAAAAGGAAAAAAGAAAAAAAAAAGATGAAAGAAAGAAGAGATAGAAAGGAGATATATAGAGAGATATATATATTAACTAAGTATATTTTTAAAGTATAGCATGTTAAAAAGAGATTGTAAAGTTTATTTTGAAGGTCCAAGTTGATTGCTGTTTACAATCATCAGGTATTTATATAATCATAATACAAGATGCAAAAACTATTTTAGGATTTTAAAGAGCATTTCTGTTTGACTCGCTTTAGAAAATCCAACTTGGTTTTTTTGTTGGTTGCTGTAGAGATGTTATTTGAAGAGACCTCTAAAATGATCAGACATAAAAAAAAAATGGGATCTACTGTCAACAGTAATCCAAAAATAAAAGTATTTTGTATTATTTTGAAAATACAAAAATACAGTATTTTATTTTGATACATTTTTAGGGTGGGTATTTTATTTGGAAATACATGTTGACGTATTTGTGCCCATGCCTGACAGCAGGTTGCTGTCTGACCAAGATGGCGCTGACAGGATAACAAACACAATGAAAAAACATATATATCCATCAACTTAAACATTCATTCTCACTCTTACATTTTATTCTAGACCGACTCCCTCAGGCTGTGTCAACATTTTGAAAGGCAGTGTCACTACATGCAGTCAACACGCAATCAATTAAAGCAGCTTGTAAGGCACGCAGCAATCTCCTGAAGAGTAAGCCATCAATGTCATGCAACATATGCCTGCAGCTAATCTCAAAAATGACAAATTACCCGGCTGCAAGATTTACAGTTGGAGTATTTGTGGGAGAGAGTGTTTATGTGTTATTTTCCTGATGACCCAGACACATGGATTTGGAGATGGGAAGACGCTGCAAAGGCTGCAGATAAGGAGAGCAACGGAGCAGAGAGCATCGACCCTGCAACACCACCGACTTACAACACAAGCCTCATTCAGCATCAATCTCCCTGCTAATTATGTTGGATTAAAATAAAAACGTGCATTTCTTTATTTCATGCCATTTCCCCGGCAGTCATTACAGAAAACACAATTACTGTTAAAGACTCGACTAAACCTAAAAGTTTTAGGGCTAATTTATCAGACGTCTGCAACAGTTCACTGTTCATTTTGGGTTCATGGAAAATAATCATTTTATTCTGATTTTTTAGCTCAGAGTCACAAACTTTGATGATTTCTCTGGGATCCTGAGACTGAATAACATCTACACTTTTAGAGCCTTTTTCTTAGACTCGGATTGTTTCTTCATTAGCTTTAAAGAGTTAAACACTGAACTGTTTGTTTATCCTGTAAAATAGTTCAGGTTATTGGAGATATCTGTGAAAGCCGGTTTATAGAGATTCTCTGTTAGGTTTAGGTCTTAAAGCAGGTTTATCACAGCTACATGCCGTATTGAGAGTTAATCTTCACCTCCGTCTTTCACAGCCTCTAACTGGTTTTTACATTATCTCCCTGCATCCACATTCACATCCCTCAGCATGATGCTGCCACCACTTTGTTTGGCTGTGGATCAGATGTTCTGATTTAGAATGTTTTTATTGGTCAATAGAGGAAGGATTTTTGTGAAACACTCCAGAGTTATCACTGCTACTTTTCTGTAGAGTTCCTCAATCTATGATTGTGTTTTTTTCACTAATGTTCTTTAACAAACTTTCTTCTTGTCTTTGAATTACAGATTAATGCTTCACAAAGCTAATGCCTTAAACACCTGCTGGTTTGTTGCTTCAGATTAAACCTAATGATTATATCTGGACTGAAATGGTGCTGATCATATTATGTTTTTATTTTTTCTGACACTGTTTTTATGCTTTTGTACGGTGACCATGAGTGTCCAGAAAGGCGCCTTTTTAAATAAAATGTATTATTATTATTATTATCATGCAGTTAAAAAAGGAGGAGTTAACTGAGGTTAGAAGTAAAAGGAAGAAGCTTCTAAGCATTTATTTACTATATTAACAAACACTTTTAATGGCTTGTATAACATTATTGTTTATATTTGTGGCTGATAAATGTGCAGAGTGTTTATTTGATGGTGGGGGACCCTGAGAAGATAATCAGCTCAGAACAAAACCCTCTCAAAGCCCTGCGAGGGAAATCCGGCTCTTTGGGTCAAAAGGTCAAAGGTCAGGTTTGCAGCACCCCCCCGCTTCCTCTCTGCTGCTGAAAAATCTAAAAAATAGAAATGAGACCAGCATGGCTGACAGTTAAACTGGGGCTCTGACAGTATCCCTGCAGGCCTGGTGGGACGCCCAGGAGGAGAGAGGACCCTTGAGAGAGGTGAGAAGAGGCTGATGATGTCTTCACATATTGGGATGGGGGCTGGGAGACCTTCGGCATCAAGGTCACAGTTTATTGCAACATGATCTGTGTTCTTCATAACATGCTGTGAGAAGCAGAGGAACACATTTCACTTTCCAGCTTTCCCTGCTGACTTCTATTTCCATCAAAGACATCATGTTCTAGGTGGTTTCAGCAACGTCATATTCAGCTTTGTTTCAAACCTTTTGTCATGTAGAACATTTGGAACCGTTCATATGGGGAAAAAAAGGAAACAATCCACAACCAGATCAGCCAGTAAGTTCCTGACCCCCTGCGGCTTAGATGCCACAGAAAGCTCCCATGGTTGTTCTCCTAAAGCAGCGACTGTAAGGTTTTATCATTTAGCCGCATATGTGAGCGTTTCACACAAAGTCGCCGCTGAGGGTCATGGCGCTGGACAAACCCATGTAGAGTTTATAAGTTCCCACTGGTTCCTCTGAGGACCAGCAAAGGGGCCTTTAACAGACCCCCCCCCCCCCCCCCCCCCCCCCCCCCCTCTGGACTGGATGTTTTCCTGGATTAAAAGCAGGTGGTGCCAAACTCAACCAAAGACAAAACAACACAGAACATTCCCATTTGTTCCCAAAGAGATCATGAACTAATATCCACCATCCACACATTAATCATTCGTACCGATGATTCTTCAAGTTAATTCCAACATCTTTAGAATTTAGGGGCTAATTTTTAGGTAATTACCAACATTTTGTTCATATGAGTCGGTCTCTGGCTTGCTGCATTTATAACAAACAACTTTATGCTAATAGTCATTCAATGAGTCTGTGATTATGGAGAGACTCTGCCAATGATGGCACAATGCCTGGAAACACTGGTGTTTGCACGGTTGCCATAGTAACACCTTAACTTACTGTAACATCCCAACATGGAAGTAAGTGCAGCTCTGAATGATCATCATTTAAAATAAAAGCTAAGAACTCGTATTTAAAGGAAATTAATTTGAGGAAAAACAAGAAATACATTTAACAGTTATCTGAAAGACAGGTGATTAAAAAAGGGTTTGGCTTCTTCCTGATTCACACTTTAGTGCTTTAGAACATTAAACTATATCAATAGTCAAAGACAACACTAGTAAACAAAGAATAATTCTATTAATTTGTCTCTATAGTTCAAATTCACATCATGTCATCTCAGGTCACTTTATAGATCCACATCAACCAGATCATCCCGTCAGATCGATTCAAAGTTTTCTATCTAAGGAAAACCAGCTGATTGCATCGACTCATTGACTCTTCAGCAATCCCCCACACTAAGCATGCTTGTAGCGACAGTGGAGAGGAAAAACTCCCTTTGAACAGGAAGAAACCTCCAGCAGAACCAGGCTCAGTGTGAGCGGCCATCTGCTGAGGCCCACTGGGGTTCAAGGAGACAGAAGCAGACATAGAAAAAGAAGCATAGATACAAAAGGCAACTGTCAACCAGCTCCACAGGCGGCCCCGTCCAGGAAACACACAGCCAGGCAGACGAGCTCCGAGCCAGCTCCCATGTCAGAGGATGAAGAGAGCACATCCAGTTAGTCACAGTCAGAGAAACAGGACTACACTGGAAAACAGGCCAAGCTCCAACATCTAGAAACAAAGGTGTTGATGGCAGCAGCACAGCTGATATTTCTCTCCAGGATGGAGTCACAGCCAAACAGGAACAGACCAGATGAAGCTACTATGAGAAAAAGCAGAGAGAGCAGAACGTTAGAGATTGAACTAACAGATTCTGCAGAGTGGGAGAATAGAGATAGAATGAAGCAGAATGATGAAAAAGGGGTCCCTATGTCCTCCAGCAGTCTAAGCCTATAGCAGCAGAACTATAGAGATAGATCAGGATAACCTGAGCCACTCTAACTAGAAGCTTTATCAAAAAGGAAAGTTTTAAGCCTAGCCTTAAAAGTAGACAGGGTGTCTGCCTCACGGACTAAAACTGGTAGTTGGTTCCACATCATCTGGATTATAGACAGATATAGCTGGGTATCATCAGCATAACAGTGGAAATTAATCCCATGCTGTCTAATAACTCTACCGATTGGGAGCATGTATAAAGTAAAGAGAATTGGTCCTAGCACTGATCCCTGTGGTACTCCACAGGTAACCTTTGAGCGTGTTGAAGATCTATCATTAACATGAACAAACTGAAATCAATCAGATAGATCAGATTTAAACCAGTCTAGTGGTTTTGGATAAGCTAGACGCAGCAACTTATGAGTAACTTACATTTAACGTATGTCAACCATCAGATAACTTACCTGTACCTTATGACCCACGTGTGAGCATACGCTAGCACACGTTGATTTGTGAATGAGTTATTTATGATTTGTTTTGGTATCAGGTCAACATCGTTTTACTTAACTAGCTTAATATGGAAAATGCAACGGTTGCATCGGGACACCCATAGTGGAAACGAGCTCTGAGAAAGATGAGGCCTGCAGGTCTTTAGAGGCTGATTTCCTGACCTCTTTGGGCTCATTTTTCTCGGCCCGCCTCTCTGGCAAAGCTTCGCCACTCTCTCATGTTTTTCCAGTAATGTGGTTTGCTGCAGTCCCAAAGCTTTAGTCATAACCGTTTCCAGGCTGATGGATCTCAGTTCTTCCTGAGTTTCTTCAGACCTCAGCATGATGTTGATCTTTGGAGGATCTTTTATTTGTTAGGTATGTTCTAACTTACTTTCTCACACAGTAGCAGCATAAGAAAAATGGGAGAACGCCATCTCTTTTTCCACCATTAGTCGCGTCTCCATCAATGTTTTAAAGAGAGATAATCATCATCAGGCTGCAGCACAGTTTCCCGGAAATTAGGTTCATATTTAGTTTAGTGTTTTGCTGGAATTTAAATCATAGACAATAACTCAACAAACGACTCTGTTAATCAGAAGGAAAAAGTGGCTGAAAATATTTTTTTTAAATTGTACTTTGCGTCTCAGAAATGTTGTTATAGATTTAACCTCTGCTGCCATTTCAGCTGCAGGTGATTTCAGACATTCTGTGATGTAAATCATTGCATTGCAGGTCCCGCTCCTGTTTTTAAGCTGAAGCTTTTCTTCCAGGATTGATTTATTTTCTCTCTCTCTCTGTGAGCTTATGCACCCCGTGGGAAACTGCAGAGGACTTCTTAAAGTCTTCATCCTACTGTGGGTTTCTGCTTCCACACGACTGACATAGATCCTGTTAACATGTTGTCCCACCTGAGCCGTGGATCTCTGCAGCTCCTCCAGACTCTGTAGATCTCATGGCTGCTTCTCTGATTATTGTCCAGTTTGTTTCTTCATTGTTATTTTTATTCTATTTGGCCTTCAGCTCAATTTATGGCAGATTAAGCTGCAGACAGATGGATTCTGTTCATTTCTGAAGCCATAGAATAACCTGAATACAACTTCAGATTTTTATCAATAGGAAATTGTTTCCAAGTATTTTAAATAATGGTTTAAAACCAATAAAATACTTTAAAGCAGGCAGCTTTAACATTATAAAATGTTGGACATTTCAAAGGGAATGAATTGCTTCATAAGGCGATGATTGTGTAACATCTTTGGTCGGTATTAACCTCGCCAGCTGAGGGATCCAACTGATCCCGTCAGGTTCGTCTCTTATCCAGCCGTCTGTAGAAGAATCGACTCGTAACAGAAAAATTGAAATAATTCAATGTCTGGAACAGAACGTCTGAAAGCTGAACCTTTTCCAAAGGTTGGTCTGTTTGAATGAAGAGAGAATTCAGAAGGAAATCCAGGGAAAGGTTACCATGAAAAGCACAGAAGACTTTTTACTTTGTGTCTAAAGTTCCATTCAATTCACTTTAATTAAACAATTATATTAGAAACATATTGTCTCACGGCACAAAGTCAATTTAATTCAGTGATCCAGATTCATTCATTCC